CCAGGGAGGACGGAGGGTATCCTCCGGCCTCCCATACTCATGCTCTCACCGGCGTCGCAATTTCGGGCTGCCGTCACCATGGCTACGCCCCCAATTGTGATTGCGGAAAACGACACCAGTGCGAACACAACGGCAGCCGGTCATCTCGACAACGGTCAACAACCTGCGGAAGCAGGGACAAGTGGCAAGCTCGTGGACGGCAGCAAAGGAAATCATGACAACTCAACTTCCAACGACACTTCTGACTCTGACATGACTACATCAGGCCCAGAAGACCAGGATGACGAGGACTTCATTCCTGTGAAGACAGGACGCAAACGGAAGCGCAAGATCGAGAGCGCCAGTGATGAGGAAAGCAGAAAGAAAGCCATCGTTTCACTCGGTCTGACGGTCATCTTCGCACCGCAAGACCCGACGATACTTCTGAACAAGCTCAACGGCCTGAAGCTCACGGAGGCTCTAAATAGTCACGCCCCTACCGAAGTTGGTGAAATTCGCTGCAGCAAGAGATTGAACATACTCGCGGTGGACACACGAAATCAAGAATCCACAGCGTCCTTGCTGCGAATCAGGAAGCTCGTCGGCATTGCAGTGCGGGCATACGAGCCTCGGAATCCGAACACTGCTGTGGGCATTATTCGGGACGGTGACGCAAGCATCTCGGGGAAAGTGTTGCTTCGGAACCTAAGCGCGAACATGACGAAAATCACGCTGGTGCGTCGTTTTGCTGACACGGAAACGGTTCGCGTCACTTTCGCTTCTGCGACCCTCCGGAACACGTATTTCTGGGCAGAGTACGACATAAGGTCGAACTATACGTTGATCGACCAGCGCAGTGCAGGAAGTGTGGCAAGTTTGGACACGTCAAGGCAGTTTGCACTCGCCCCGAGGTGTGCACCAGATGCTCTGGCTCCCACGCGAGCGAAAGATGCGAAGCCGAAAGGGCCAAGTGCGTGAACTGCAAGGGCGCACATGAGGCAACCTCGAAAGACTGTGTGATCTGGCAACAAGAACGAGCCGTAAACAAGTACAAAACAATTAACAAAGTAGACTTCAAAACTGCCCGAGCTGCCGTCCGAAGCCGCGGCCAGCGCAACATCGAACACGACAACTTGATCGTTCTTCAGAACCGTTTCAGTGACCTTTATGATGAGACGCAGGACCTCCCCCCCGAGCAGAGCAGCGCATCACAGAGTGAAACACGGAGTTCGCACCCTGCACGGTGTGCATCATCAAACCCTGAATCAGTCTCTCGGGAACAAGGTGCATCGAGAGAACAGCGCGTGGAGCCTCCAAATTGCATTAGAGAGCAAGGCACATCCCAGCGTTCATCGCAGCGCACAGCACAGCGGAATTCATACAGTCATGCGCTCCGCACTGCCTCTGCTCAAACACAATCACAGCCAACCAGCAACCGTAAAACCTCCCGAAGCGCGACCGGCAACGAACAGCCCAGCCTGATATCCTCACTGGGAACCCTTGCACGAACTGTAATGCCAGTGGTCACGGAACTTCTGAAGCCGTTTGACTCTCCTGTGGTGCGAGCAATTCTCCATATAATCACACTGGTTCAGCAATGGCTCTGCGATGGAGCTTGCTAGGCATCAAACTTCCACAAATGAGTTACCTACAGCACACGCAACGAGCACCACAGGTATCGTACTTCAAGAGCACGCTAGTGAACGACGTCTAGACTCTGTAGAAGAACTTTTTATTCATCAAATATACCGCGAATGCACTGTGCTCCAGTGGAACGTGCGCGGCCTACGAAACAAACTGCCTGATATACGGGTCATATTGAATGGGTTAAAACAGCGCAGACAGACGAAGAACAGCGCTGTGTCTGTGTGTTTTCTTTTACTGGTCCTTCGTCTGTCTGCGCTGTTTTGACCCATTCAATATGACCATCAACCAACTCGCCCAACTTTCCACCTTGCTGATATACGGGACTTTGTACGAAAGTATGAAACGCCCATTGCAATCTTTATCGAATCAAATGCATCTTCAACGCTCCGCATCTCCGGATACGAGTGCCATCATTCCGTTCCTGATAGGGAAAAAAGTCGTATCACCGTGTGTGTGCGCACAGACATTTCAGTTGCCAGGAAAGAAGTCTCCCTTCGCACTACAGCCGATTACGTGTGTCTCAAGCTTCGGTACAAAAACATATCCTTCACAATCATCGCGATCTACATTCCGCCAAGAGTGCATTTCTCTGGCGAGGAAATTCAGGCCGTGCTGCAGGAAATTGATGGACCTTTTCTTTTTTGTGGCGATGTCAACGCACACAACCCGCTGTGGGGCGGAGATAAACTTGATGCGAGAGGAAGACTCCTAGAAGACATTTTCAGCTATTGGAACATGGGGGTCCTTAATGATGGAACATACACTTTTCTTCGGGGAGAGCTCAGGAGCGCCATTGATATCACTGCGGTTTCTGAGGACTTCCGTCTTCCCGTCCGATGGATGACAGATCTTGACACCAGGGGCAGCGACCACCTGCCTCTACTCGTCTCCCTCGACGGCTTTGGAGGAAGAAGGCACAACCGGACAATTCCATATACAGACTGGAGTCGTTTCAGAAACGAAACAGAGTCAGCATATAAAAATGGTGCAGGAGATACAGACATCACTGCCCGCATAACAACATCATTGACATCCAGCACGAAAATGGTGAAACTCCCCGCCAAATACCTTGCGATCGACGCGATTATGAGAAGTTGCGAGCGGTTCGACGTCGTGGTGAACGACGTGCCAGGCGAACTGGTAAAGCCGCGGACTGGGCGGAAGCACGACGAACCCTGGCGGTCGTACGACGACACTTAATTCGACTCTCTATGCGACGTTGGAGAGGTACCTGCGGTTCAATGGACCCTCACAAGCCGTCAACGAGACTATGGAACGTGACCCGAGGGCTCAAGAAAACACCCAGGCAGAAGTTTCCCTTCTGAGCCTTGGCACTTTCAAAAGGAATCACTGAGCATGCTGCAGCCAATGCGTTCTGCCAGCTCCAGCAGCGGCGCCCTGCGAGCGGTTTGTCACACGAGAAAACCACAGAAGCCGCCGTGCTACCGGAGCTAGACGAGGCTTTTACCATGAGGGAACTCAAAAGTGCTCTACAGGAGTGTTCCCAACACACCTCTCCAGGCCCGGATGGTGTTACATACAAGGCACTAGCCAATCTGGGACCCCTCGCCCTCGGTGCCCTCCTACAACAATACAACGTCAGTTGGAACACAGGACAGCTCCCAGAGTCATGGAAGAAGTCTCGCCTCGTTCCCATCCTGAAAGCAGGAAAATCGCCTCTTTCGCTTGAGTCATACCGCCCCATTGCGCTCTCCAGCTGCATTGGGAAGTTGATGGAGCGTATGATCCTAAACCGTCTGCTCTGGTACCTCGAAAAGACAGGGGTCTTCCCCGAGTGCATGTCGGGGTTTCGTCGTGGCCGTTCTGCCATTGACGACGTCGTGGACTTAGTCTCAGATGTTGAACAGCATCGGAGCCGTCGTCTCTCCACGATAGCTGTGTTTCTGGACATAAAGGCTGCTTTCGACAGCGTGGAACACTCAGCAATACTCACGTCCCTCATTAAACTTCGCGTACGTGGTCGAATCTACAACTGGATCTTGGATTACCTTAAAGGACGCACAATTTACCTAACCACGACAGAAGGAAACAGTGACTGTTTCTCCGTAACTGCCGGCGTTCCACAGGGGGGCGTCTTGAGCCCCACACTCTTTAACGTCGTCCTGGCCCACCTGCCGCAGGAACTTTCAGAGCATGTAAAGATGTCGATGTATGCCGATGATCTGTGTATCTGGTCTTCGGGCCCGAACCGCGCAGTAATCTGTGGAAGGCTCCAGAAAGCACTCAGCAGAATCGAAAGATACCTGAACTGCAGAGGCCTACACCCGTCGCCCAGCAAATGCGTCGCTATGGCTTTCACCAGGCGAAGTTGCAAGCGCTTTCCCATTCACATAGGAGAGCAAATTATCCCCTACGTCAACAAGCACACCTTTCTTGGAATAGTTATCGACAGACGGCTCACCTGGGCACCTGAAATGAACAGACTTCGATGCAAGGTCAACTCGTACGTGAACATCATGCGGTGCCTTTCTGGCTCGACATGGGGAAATTCAGCCGCCCTCATGCAGCTACACAAATCAATGGTACTGGGAAGTCTGCGCTACAGTCTGCCTTTACTGCACCGGGTCAGTTCAACAACCCAACGGGGACTCTTAGCACAGCAGGCAAGAAGCCTCCGCGTTGTGCTGGGAGTGCCCCGAGCGTCGCCTTCTGCAGGAGTTATAGCAGAAGCGCACGAACAACGTATAGAGGCGCTCCGTGTTCAAGAGACCCTCCGGCACTACAGTTGTTTTTCAACCCAGCACGAAGCGCATCATCTGGCGGGCCTGCACATCTCACGTCCAGCGTCGAGTTTTGCAGAAGTGGTAAGAAACCACGTCGAAGCCTTTCCGGCGAACGCTGCACCGTATCGTCACCCCCAGCGAGCACCTTGGACATGGCTGACCCCAACGGTCCACCTCTCAATACCGGACGTAGGCAAAGGCACAGCCTTCGGTTTTGTGAAGCGGCTCCTCACTCAATATTACATTGAAGAGAACTACAAGAACGCCATCCAGATATACACAGATGGATCAAGCACTGCGATGAGCTCGTCCTCTGCAATCTACGTTCCGGATGCGAGCATTTCGGAAGGGTACAAACTCTCCCACCGTACATCGTCCACGGCATCCGAGCTCCACGGCATCTTGCAAGCGTTACACTACATAGAGGCAACTTCTCCGAAGAGCTATGTGGTGTGCACGGACTCAAAATCGGCGTTGGCATCCCTATCAACCACAGCCAAAAAGTGCGCATACCCGGGCCTGCAACAGGCTATACTCGATAAGAACGACACCCTGCACAAAAAAGGGTATGCCATTACATATCAATAGGTCCCAGGACATGTTGGTGTCACTGGCAACGAGATAGCCGATATGACAGCAGCTCGGGCGCACAAAAACGAAAGAACAGAGGCCATTCCCGTTGCGAAAGCTGATGTGAAGAGCTTTCTCTCTGGTGTCGCAAACCAGATAACGGTAAAAATCTGGGAGCAACCTGAGGGCCACCCTTATCACCTGTACAACTTGGACCCCAAGCTTCAAAGAAGAATCCCTTGGAGCACACCTCGAAACCAACTTTCAGTTTATTTCAAACTTCGCCTTGGGGCCGCCCGGACTGGCCGCCAACGCTACAAGTACAAGCAGCGAGATTCCCCAAACTGCGCGACTTGCCATACCGAGGACACAATCGAACATGTACTCGTTAACTGCAAACGATACGAGAAAGAGCGTGTGATCCTCACTAAGGAACTGAATCTTCTGGATGACCAACCAATGACCATGCGAAAGGTGCTAGGACCCTGCACCAACACTCGAAACCAAGCACGGGCGTTTAAAATACTGATGGATTACTTAGAATCAACTGGTTTGCTGCAAACACTGTAGACGCAGAAGGACGCTCAAGAAGGTCGCCACCTATAACAGAAACAGAGTAGCAAGCGGGGTCAAATAAGCCCTAGCTAACATCTCTGTCGCTCGATGAACCGAAATAGCAAATAAAAAAACAATAAAAAAAAACATGACCACTGAAGCAGGCGATGGAGCCAGCGATGTCGCAGACGATGTAGCAGAACAACTGTTTTTCCTCGGACAACAAGGGATCCTCAGGCGCTAGTCCTGTCGGTACCCGAACGTTCGCGACTCGCGGATTGAACCCCGCTTCAGGTACCTAGACAACCTCTAGGCCCCCGAGTTCAGTGCGGTGCCGTTGGGGCGCGGGCGCGGGTGTGCGGCTCTGGGGTGACGCTTCGGTCGCGTGAGTGATCGCGCGGACGGGGCGCCTCGCGGGGGTGCGCCTTCGGGCCTGTGCGTGTGGCGGCGCGGCAAAGACGCGCACATTGTATGGACACTGGTTCGCGTATATATCTGTGCACATTGTCCTTATCCTCTGCGCATTTCTTGCATAGTCCTGTCCACGGTGTTGGAAATAAATTTTCTAGTCAGCAGACAATTGTACTCATCCGGGCAACCTAGGGGGCGCTGAGGGGATCTACTAGTGATGACGTTTAGAGGAGGAAACGCGCACGCCTTGGGTTCTAGGTGGTATTGATCTGGCGCACCTCTCGGCGCAGCTATCTTAGCGTCACGTGATCACTAATGTGGCGAACGGGCAACATGCCGGCAACCCGGGGGGGGGGGGGGGGGGGGAGAGGGAGAGGGTGCCATTTTTGGCCGCTGGTTTACGACTCTAAGTTTACTCAAGCTCGTTGGTTAGCGCACACCAGCTTGGAGCAGGTGGAGCAAAAGCTCGCGCTGCAGAACCCAGGATCCTGTGTTCAATCCGCACCCCTGCCCGTTTCGATCTGAATGGGCATCGTACACTGCGTGCTACACGTTATAGACCCCAGGCTAGTGGTTCTACCGCACAGGCTAAATTTCTCATCTAGAGCTGGGAGACTTGTCGCTCCTTGAGGCGGACGAAGTTCTTCCGAATGATTTTTGACGGTGCTACACCGTGCCAATAATCCTTCGATTTTTTTTTGTGCTGTTGAATTAGATGTTTACTTGTTTTCAAGTTGATTGAGACGTCTAAGCAGCCGGAGTGCTTAAATAGGGGAGTCGTTTTTCTTGCGGCCGCAGTGTGACCATTAAGCGAAGGACTCGAACGTGGCAGCAGACGACGAAATGATTCTGCGCTTGTTGACAAACTGAGGAATCACAAACAACACAATCTCATGAAGTACACACACGACAGGAGAATCCAAGCCGATACCGGGGCATCCCAAATGAGGATGTACGATGATGTACACGCAGCGCGACCCTATGCAGCCAGGAAGCCAGAAAGGGAGGACTACAAGTAGCATAGCGGCGGCACCACTTCCGGAATGCGCGCGCCTGCGCAGTTTGGTTAGGTCGGTTCATTCTTAGCAAAAAATAGCATTTTGGCGCAATGTGCAGCAGACTTTCTTTCATGGCGCAATTTGGCGCAATTCGGCGCAAATGGCGCAGGACTTCCATTGATGGTGTTAGGACTACTTCGCAGGTATCGTCGCTCTACGTTCGAACCCATCAACTCACCAGTCGAACCCTCTCAAACACTTCGGGAGCCCCCTGGACGCTCAAGAGGAAGGCACTCACGCGGGCGTTCACGCCTATCAAGCTCATAAAGGTATAAAAAAAATTAACGACGGTTATAAATCTCTGTAACGCGAAATTAGAGCTCAACTCTTGAGGAGGGGGAGAAGAGGGTACGGAAGGAGGGTTATGCTTCTCCTCCTTCCCTCCTCCTCCTCCTCTTTCTCCCCTATTCCTCCTCTTCCTCCACCTCTTCCCTACGTCTCCCCTCCTCTCCTCTCTCCTCAACTATTATAGCATACACCTCTAATAGTTTGTGCTTAAAAGTAATGTAGACCAAAAAATCTCAAGTTCACAGGCGACCATGACAGAACGAGAAACTAATGAATCCGCAACCGCCAACAAAACACCACCTTACCGCAGCGGAACGTGTCGGACCGTTTTTGGCAATAAAATAACTCGCTATCAGTCACTTCGCTATATAGCCAGGACTCAGTGAGAGCAGTGACGTCTGCATCGCATGAATGAATTGGCAACTGAGTACTGTTCATCACGTTCACGGATTAGACTGTGAATGTTAGTAAACAAAACGGAAACATTTTTGAAAGTCATACGCGTTTCACTGCCCCTCATTGTTTGTTAAGAAGGCACAGGAGAAGATACCACATTGTGAGCATGGGAGGGGACTGTCGCACCAAAAACTTGGTGACGGGACGTGGCTAGCTCATATATTTGGGAGGAGAACGAACAGTCACGCCTCTAGCGGCACGCTTCAGCTGTGGGGACAACAAACCAAATTTCCTTGTTTGTTTTTGATCAGCGATATCGAAGATGACGATTCGAAGGCCGCTCCTCGTGCGACCAAAGCACTGGCCAGTGCGAAGCGCTCGTGTCTAGGCAGTGCATGACGAGGTTCAATTTCTTTGTTATGCTGTGTTAGTAAACATCGGGCTGTGGGGACAACAACCTCGATAAAGCGCCCCCTATAGTTCGATCTCCTGCCCAATAGAGTCTTCAATTTCATTGTAAGCCTAGCACGTGTTGTTGATAAACAGTTTTTTATACTTTAGTTTAAACGCGCTCTCCTGTCCTTTCCCGTATTCCAGTAGTTGACGTCAAGCCAAACGCGTTGACGCGCTAAAGGCTTCAGAGACAGAAACAGGGCTGGCTTTTAATCTGGGTTTGATCTGCAGAAGACTTTTTTAGTTTTAAAAGACTGAAACTTCACTAAAATGGGACGGTGTTTTCCGGTTATAAATGAACCTAAACGGTCGGCTCGCACAATCTGTTCTAGGAATATACTAAGCGAAGCGTATCCTGAAAGTAACCCTATAACCTTCACATCCGCCTGTGCCCATGTTTAGCCAACGCAATCACCTACAGTGTCTACACCATGAAATACAAGGTTATCTCTACTTGGCTGGTTTTTAATCTCGTCTAATCTAAGGTGCAAAAGGTTATTATCTTTTTTAACGCGCTGAACAGCTCCGTGGGCACTAGCCAACTCAGGGAAATTCGTCGTTTGAAGCTGCCTTCAATTCGATAGTAGAAATACTCGTACCGATATTTGCAACCGGACTTTTAGTTGTTCATGACTTGATTTTAGTTCGTTAATCGAAGTAAGAATGTTGTTTTGCCCTTGTTCAACCCTCTGAGTACGCACATTTGTATATCTTGCAATTACCGCGTCATTTCATCTAGTTGCTCAGCAAAGCATCTGGGTATAGAAGCACTACAGTACAGACATCGTTCGACTTAAAACGATAACAACCGTCTTGATTACGAACCTGCAGGGTTAGAAGAACAAAGTTTAAGATGTGCATCTTCGGCGTGGGATCCGGCCAACTCGTCGAAAGCCAACTCGTCGACGGCCAACTCGTCGACGGCCCATTCGTCGAATAGGGCAATTCGTATTAGGGAAATTTGTCGAAGGGAAACTTGTCGAAAGGGAAAATTGGTCGAAGGGCGATTCGTCGAATGTGTTGAATGACGGTCCAATGTAAAAGTTAGTGGTTCCTTTTTATCTCTTAACCTAAATTTTTATTTGTGTTTGGACTAAGGTCAGCGCCTTTGTTAGTTACAAGACGGAAAGAAAAATTACAAGAAGGCAAAGACAAGAGAGAACCTCTAGACAAGTTGAAAAATGTGTCATCTCAGGATCGTCCCTTTTGTTACCTTTTTTTATTACTTATTTTGTAATAAGCCGCCGCAGACTGTCGCCGGGAATGGCGTGAACGGGTGGGCCAGGTGGGTCGACAATTTTGTTAATGAACCGCCGCAAACTGTCGCCGCGAAGCGGCGTCAACTGATGGGCCGGGTAGGTTAACACGCGCCCCAGTGATACACGAGCGACGTAGTGGGGAGTGGGGTCGCTCGAGTGGGGTCGCTCGTGATACACGAGCGACCCCACTCCATTGTGAAAGTGGCAAAAGCGTCAAGGTGTTACCTTCGACAAGAAAGAGCAGACTGGAAGTCAGTTTTTGAGGAGAGCGTCAATTGTACACATTTTTTTACGGAAGAGTTACACATAAAAGACAGAACACGGATTAATATAGAACAATTTTAGCTTTAAGATTTAAAGAAAAAATTATATATTTGGCTCTAAAAAAGCGGCGACAAGTTGGCCTCCTCGACGAGTTTTCCTTCGACGAGTTGCAATATGACGAATGGGCCTACTCGTCATAGGGCAACTCACCGACGAGTTAGCTTTCGACGAGTTGGCCTAGAACCCCTTCGGCGTACATTCATGATCCACGGTGAAGGGACCACCTTTCTAGGCCATTGTGATAGCGCAGGTGTTGATGTAACTGTTCTGGAAGGACAGAGGCGAAGCTAATTGATAACAGTCACGAAGAATGCCTCGGCTGCCTGGCCGAAGTTCTGCTTGGTTGTACTGGGAACTCCGATAAAGGGGGCACCTTCCATGTCGGGCGAATCCCTTGGTCCAGACAGATTGGCGCCCGAGGAGCCAGGTTGGAGACCAAAGCCCGTCCCGCTCGATAACTGTAGGGTTAGGAGAACCAAGTATAAGATGTGCATCTTTGGCGTGCATCGATGCCCACTCGAAACGAAACAATTCTTTAGCTTATTGTTTTCTGTTCAAGTGTGTACCTTTATATTCGAGCGAAAACCTTAAAAGGGCTAACAATATAAATAATCAAATAAGTAAATTATTAATTAAAAGCAAATCAATATAAATAATGCCACCCTGATCCGCATTATGTGCCTCGGAAGTATAGACCTTTCCAGAAAAGGGCTGCTGGCCGGTTTCATTTTTGAGTGTTCGTGCGTATCGCGCGTGATTTGCTCGCTTTCCGAAGCGACGCACACACGCGTGCTGAGCTGTGGAGATCGCACGCTGAGCTGTGGATTTGTAAACATTGGAAAGGTCTATAATTAGGAGCGGAAATAAATCTTTGTGCAGTTACACGCGAGCGGTTCGTGCCAGCCGCGCGCAACTGACGTCGTGTTTGTCATACTCCAGCAAGATTAGCCAAATGATTCACGACACGTGCACTGCGTGACATTAAGCGCTAGGACGACCTCGGTACTTTTTCGCATGTTTTCTCATAAATTATAGCTACGAACCCTCATTTCCGTCGTTTGGCATAGTGTTCAAATGAGCCTTGCCCGCGACAGTGGTAGCTTTGATTATGATAGATGTAGACTGTTAAAGAAATTCAGAAAAAAATGGGCGAACGATCGCCCGTTCGTGTTAAAGCTGTCGCGCTATGCACACTTAGGGTGCCTTCATGTGCGCTTTGCTTAGGGTGGTGGCATCTCGCCATTTTGTCCCACACGTTTATTTTTATTTTTTGTTCAGAAGCGCGTGAAAGAGCGTGCCCCAGCACGCGTTCGTGGCGCTGGCTGTGCTATGGCGACATTTTGTTTTCGTCGATTTCTTTGTATTTTCCTTGTGAGCGCGTGCGGTCGGCATCGGGTACTACAAAGGCTGGCATCACCCTAAACAGAAGGACATTGAGGCACCCTATGCACACTGATTTCCTCTACCTCGATCACTCGTGACGATCATGTCACATATAAAAGAGAGCGAATGGCCCCTCGTGAAGTGGGATAAAGTGCTCGACGGGAAGCATTTTCTCAAGTGTAGCAGTTCTCCTTATCGCAAGTTTACATCGTCAAAGGTGTAAGCCAGGCTGTACTTCAATTCGTATATGGTGTAACATTTAATGTTCTGTTTCTACGTTTTTTTTTTCTTTCAGTTCAAATTTGCGGCAAAAAACACACACACAAAACAACAACATTTGTTACATTATGGCGTTAAAAAAAACCAAAGAGGCTTTTGAAAAAAAAAAAAAAAGAAAAGAAGTTGGAGGCGAATTCTTTCGTAGTCTTTTTTATCCTGGAAATTTCAATATCACAACCATTTGACCCGAACGCGTCAATAGAACCGAGAAAACCTGAAAAACCAACTGCTTGGTGTGACGTCATACCCATAAGTTTTAACTGCCTTGTGTTTGCCTCTTGTAAGGGAACGTGCGGAGCGTTTTTGACAGCTCGAGTGAGGCTTGCGGAAGGCGCGGAAATGCTTAGGTCTTCGTACAATACCGTCACGGTTCTCTCCTCCCACCGAACGCGCCGCGGGAAGAAGGGGCTTCTGCGCTATATTGAAAGTGCTGTTGTAGCTGCGTGGCGTATGCATCTGAAATATAATTTTGATGCTCGTGACACTGCAGGCCAAATGAAGACGATTTATGTGTTTCCCCTCAAATACATAACCGGTTCAATTTCCTCACTAAAATAAAATAAAACGTCCGGATATCTTGTTGTCCAATTGTTTGTGGCCAAGAACAGGGGCACAAACTCAAATGTGAGCGTGGCCATAAAGCATGGAGTTACGGCGAAACAATGTTCGACGACAAACGATGGAGTGTTGCCGGGAGATGCTAGAATGAAACAAAGCATCGCGCTCTATTCTTTGTTGGCTACTAGATTGGCTAGAAACAGCTATACTTTGCTGTGTATTGGCTAGGAGCGGCGAACGCTCCTAGCCGATTCCGCGAGTGGAGTGCATCGCGGCACCTTGGCTAAGCGCAAGGATACGAAAGGCAAATAGTTACGGTCTTCGATTGGCTCGAATTACTAGTGATGTCGGCCGTGGTCGGGCATAAACATACATGCGGGAACCAAGCGAAACCGAAATTGATTCGAAAAAATCGTGTATTTATTTTTGCATGTTCAATTTTCAGTTACCTTCAAAGTACTTTCCGCCTGAGGCCACACACTTGTCTAGACTTTTTTTTTTTTCCAATGTTCAAAACAACAATTAACTCGTCGATTATGATGCCTTTCAATGCTGCCACCGCTTTCTTTTTTTTTTTTTTTTTTTTCACGTTTCACGTTGGCAAATTGTTTTCATTTCAGAACTTTTTTCACCCGGGAAACAACAACGACAACGACAACGACAAAAAAAAAAAATTCTTTTCCACGGGGCGAGGCCAAAAGAAAAGGGAGGGCAAAATACAAAGATCATGCCGTTAAAAAAAAAAAAAAGTTTAACGTTTAGCGCGGTTTGGTCAGAAAGACAACCAGAGTTTCTGACAGCAGGAGACTGATTCGTCCACCAAGACTAACATGCCTGACCACACAGTGCTGAGTTTTCAGCAGATATTTACCCGTATCCCGCCCTCCCTATACGCCCAACCTCGCCCCGTGGGGCTTTTTTTTTTTTTTTTTTTTGCTCCATATGAAAAGTATTTTAAGAGGGAAACGGTCTGCCGACGGAAAACAGTTGACAAAAAGAAAAAAAAGGCACAAATGCTTAACGTTTTTGAAATCGACGAGTTTAAAGTCTGCTTGAGCATTGCAAGCAACGTCGCGACAAATGTATTGCATCAGACATATGACTGAAATTTGAATGCGTAGAAATAAATACACGATTTTGGGAAAATAAATTCCCGTTTCATTCAGGTCCCCCTTCGCATTTCCACCGCTGTCATCCCCAGCATCATAGATCAGGCATATACCATAAACGCCAGCTAAAAAAAAAAAAAAAAAACGTTAACTTAGAAAAAAAAAAAAAGGTATACCTTAAAATAACGGGAGAGTGCCTATCCCACTCTCACCGGTGAAATCGGGCTATTAGCCTCTAATTCGCAGAGTTCCCAAGTTTGTGAAGTGTCAATACTGGGCGCTTAAACCAAGCGGGCGCATCCGCAATATTTTACTGTAGGCGAGTAAGTTGTGTGTACGCAGACAGCGGGACGATAGTCAGTCCTAATGGGTGCGCGGGGTTTCCCCTGTAGATGACACATCTAGCCAGTGCGGTACCACTGTTAGTTTTGGGTCTTCGACATGCGTGACGCAGTAGGGATTATGCACACAACACCCGCCGGTATGATGATCATCGAGATCAAAACGGGCAGAGGTTGGGTTTGAGCCCATGGATCACATGAGTTTTCCCCGTGCGAGCATTCGCACGGGTCGGGGCTGAGGTGTGTAAACACATTCGGTAACCGCTCCACCCAAAGATAGACGAGAAAAAAATGAGTGAGTTAAAGTTACGCCTATAACGCGCAGAAGAACCTTCCAGTTGCGTGGCGAGAGTAAACCGATGTTTTCTCCCATACCGAACGTTCCGTCATTCGGGGTGTCGACGCTGAAATATTAGTTACGTTTCTCAATCACTTTTCAAACGCTTGCACGTCTAATTTCCATGCTATGGAGTTTTAGTAAATTGTTTCGATAGCTCCGATACTTGGATACCCGATAATGCGAATGCGTGGAAACTGGGCAGAGTACCGTTATCGGAGTTAGAACGTTTCTACTAAAACTCCCTATTATTCCTGCAAACTCAAGATTGGTTCACACACTTGCGTTTGATTACGGCCGAGTTCTTGTGATCTCTTACAACGAGAGAACAGACTGACACGCTGGCGCCATCTATAAGGTAGCTATGAAACTGAATTTACTGATAGTAAAGGTTTTGCAGTAGTTGCGAGATCAAATGCACGCTCTATCTACGAAAAATGCTCGCTAATACCATTGCCAAACATTTTAGAGCTAAAAAAAGAACGACTCGCGAAAAAAAAAAAAAAAAAAACAGCGGAAATCGCGTGTGTTTTATGGCTTCCCGATAGGTGCCGCCTTTGTTATCTGTCGTCGTAAGAGGTCACAGAAGAGTTTAGCTCACACGGTCGTAAACAGTCGCAATCGTGTGAACCCGTCTTAAGGCTCACTGGCAATAGTCTGACTCCGAGTATTTCCCGATTTCAGCTAGGGGCCCGCGCGTCCCTGTGCTGCGACGAATTCATGGGCGTTCTGGAACCTCTGGAGGCTCGAGGCGAGGCGTTCGAAGTGGGCCGAATCTTCCAGCAGCTCTCCACGGACATGACGGTGCGCTCCCTTTTCGGCACTCAGACCCACCAGCAGCTGGGTCGAGAAGGAATGGAAGTTGTTAGGCGGGAGCTTCGGATTTTCATCGACTCCCTGGTCAGCGACTGGCAAACAGTGATCGTTGGTACGTCGCACGTTTGCTCGCGATATGGGCATTCTGGGTTGTACTACAACATGACTATGTTCACAGACATTTTAAGAAGCTCGAGGCAAAGGACAGACAGCTCAGGAAATTCAAAGGACAGACTGAAAGCACCAGGGTCTTTCAGAAAACTGTTACCGTAAAACCACCAAGGAGACACCGTCGCTGCGATCTACAGAACAAAACAGTTTGCTCTGCGGCACTGAGCGTTGTGTGTGTCCATCCCCGGTGCGGTAAAGCACACGGCCTCCACTCGTAAATCGACACCGCGTGCGTGTGTCTAATCAACGGTGAGGCGAAGAGAAGCCCGCAACAATGCGGGCGCAACAATGCGGGCGCAACTTCCCGGATGCTCCAAGTAAAATGTAATAGGCCAGTCATTGCATAGAGAAACAGGGTCCGAAAAAAATTCAGCGAAGAACACCGCACGCGAGCTGATCTGTAAGCTAAACACTGACGGCCAAAGTAAGACGTAACAGAGAGTTTTCGTATTTGTTTATTTATTTCAGGTTACCTTGCAGCACCAGAGGCATTATTGCGGGGGTGGGGGTGGAAGGGGGGGGGGGGGGGGGAGGGGGAGGTGAGGATAGTACAGTTACATGAAAGATGATAGTTAAGTTTAATATACAATGCACAAATAAGCTTCACCCAGCAACCACCCATGTTTCAGAGAAGAAAGACAAACACAGCCAAGATATTATAGTCATTAGTCATGACACCCTGCCCAACCATCGAGTAATACATGGGATCTGTTAAGATGGAAACAATGTCGTCAGATGGTTCATTTTACTCTTTTATAGTGTTAGAGAAAAATGAATATGGGTATCTAAAAATATTGGTTCGGGATGCGTATTCTCTTATTTTATTTTAGTGGTCCCGTCTGCGAGAGACGAAGTTAAGTGGTTGAAGAAAATTCGGTTTACTAATCCCGGTGCAATCATTGCATGGTGAAATTTTAACCGAAACATCATCTCGAGCATAAGGGTTCCCAGTGCAATTGAATTTTAAGAGCAGTCACAATGTTTCCGTAATTATAATTTCTTAACGAATCGGGCTGCTCTGCTCTGCACTTGCCCTAGTTAGTTGATGAGATAGCGCTTGTTTGGGTCCGACAGAACAATGGCGTACTCTTAGATTGATCTTACGTTAGAATAAAGCAAGGTTATTTTTTACATCCCAAGAACAGTTGCTAAACTTTCGTCTTAAAAAATTATCATGTGGTTGGTTTTAGCCGTGGTGTCGTCTATGTGTGTGATCCAAGATAGATTGAACGTGATGTGGACTCCAAGGTACTTTACTGCCTCGACCTTATGTAAGAAAACACCACCAATCATGTATACGAAATTAACTAATGTACGCTTTCTAGTGAAAGTCAGCAGGCTACATTTGTTAATAGTTAACTCAATTTTCGATTGAGCACACCATTGTGAAATACGGGTAATACGTTCTTGTAACACCAAGCAGTCCGCCTCCGGCCAGGTGCCGTTGTATAAGGCACAATCCTCCGAATATATAGACGAATGCTGGATCTAACTTCTGCTGAGATAACATTTTTATATAATTGGAAACAAAATGGTGCCCCACGGATTGCTGGGGAACCCCTGACGTTACGTCTAGGTGTTTTGGTGTTTTTGCAATAATAAAAACGGTTTGTTTTCTATTTTTATACAGTTAGTTAGCCTGCTGAATACACAACCTGGGACGTTCAGAGATTCTAATCTTGTCAGAATTAATTGCTGGGGACCATGTCAAAGGCCTTTTTGGAAATCTAGAAAGACGCAGTCTACCTGTACCATTTTATCAAATGAATAAGCAATATTGTGGTAAAATTCAACTAGCTGAGTGTCACACGAAAAACCCACTTCTGAAACCGTGCTCACGTGGAGTAAAAAAATTATTTATGCCCAGATGTGGTTGCTAACAATTATATGTTCAAATATTTTTGAGCATACACACAGTAAGAAAATAGGTCTGTAGTTTCCTGTTGTTGTTTTTTCCGCCTTTGTGAGCCGGTACAACATGGGTTGTATATATTTTTTTCCATTCCGTCGGCAGTCTACCGGAAGACAAAGAACTATCGAATAATACGTACAAGAAAAGGACAAAATAACAGAGCACTCCTTTTGTACCTGGCTTGGAATCTCATCCGGGCCGGTAGCTTTGTTTTCATTTAAATGGTGTATGAATTTTAGCATCCCGTCTTGGCTTAACGTATTCCAGAGCTACGCTGTACTGTACTCCGTTCACCCCTAAGCTGAGACTGCGGTGGGAGCTACACAAGCCTATACCAAGCAGACTCTTATCGCCTGACCCGGCTCTCGGCGCGTGGATATGGTGGCTATGGGCAGGAGCGTGAAAACGTTTCGAAAGAGAGGCGTATGACTGGTCCAATGAGCAGGTAGGTTCCACCGCAGTCTCAGCTAGGAGTCAACGGAGTACAGCGACAGCGTGTGCCATCACTTCGAAGCGTGAATGGAGCTCGCGCCCGCTGGACCCGCTTTCCTCAACTTATGATCTACTAAAACTCTCCATTAACTGCATTACTCGTTTAGATTGCTTTCCGGAATTCTCGTTCGTCTGGAGATGCATTCTGGTTTTGAGAAGCCATTTCATGAAGACGCCAGCTGACAAGGTCGACGAGGCAATCCTACCGGCGGTGCATCTGCGTCGCTCCAGCCCAACGGTACGGTCGATACGGAAGGACGAAAAAAAAAAAAAAAAGACAGTATATCAAACCGCTGTTGAGGCGTCTTAAAGAAATACTGTCGTTAATTAAAGGATGAAGCGAGAGCGCAAAAATCGTGTTACACGATGTAGGCATGTCTTTTTCCGTTTTCGTTGACTTCCTCGGTGCTTTTATAGAACATTCCAATAATTTCCTTCTGCCTGCTGCCGTCTGTGTCTACAGGTACGAAGCCTAAAGGCGTCTCCGACTGATGTGTTTAGCGTTCTATCCCGCCAACGCATCCAAAGTTGTCCCGAATTGGCAAAAAAAAAAAAAAGACTTCACAGAAGCCGGTGTGTCGAGCTGTTGGATGTTGCGATCCTGGGGCCCTAAACTCGTCAAACACAAAGTTGAGTCCAAAGTTGACGGAGCGCACTGACTGGCCTATCACGACGATGACTTGGCGTTTTTCTCGCCCAAGTCCAATCGGCCCGCTCCGCAAACTTTGGGCTCCAACTTTGCGTTTGACGAAGTTAGGGCCTCTGGTCGATTGATCGTAGAAGTTCCGGCAAAAAGCACGAGCAAACGTTAGTGTCGCTGTCGTCACGGCGCCCCAACTCCTGGCTGCCGAATCTTTCGTGGGCTGTTTGGCTGGAGAGCGATCTACGGCAGAGCGGGCGTCCGCCGCATCCACCACCGTTGCTGGGACGCCGCCAGGATCGCGACCGACGACAGCGTGACACATTTTATGACGTCATCAGGTGTAAATCGAGGGACCACTTTCTCGGACGCGGTAAACACGCTGGTCGGAGACGCGTTCTAGGCTAATGGAACGCGTTGCGAACAGGTGTAGTAGCTCTCTTCCGAAGAATATCAGACGCCGCGCGGCGTGTCCGCAGCCACTGACTCAGCACTCATTTCCAGCGTGATAAGGACTGAAAATAGGTATTGATTCTTTTTTTTTTTCAGTATAATCGTGGGCTGATTTATGTGGAGCGCAAGTTCGTAGCTCCTTTGCAGGGGTTGCACTGATGTCAGAACGCCAAGCTCTTATTGGCTGATGGGGAAAAAAAAATAGTGGGTAGATTTTAAGGTATCTCGAATTGAGATATGCCCACTATAGGGTCTATTCACTTGCTGAGTCATCACCCACAAACATGGCCGCCGAGCGATAAAACGGAACTTTTATTCGTGAGCTTGGTGAAAAATAAAAGAAGGCAAAGCAAACTCGCCTATCGGCAAACCGCTATGGCCTTCAGCGGCCATGCTTGTGTGTAGTGACTCGACATTAAAAGGCGGTCTGACGTCATGTGAATAGACTCTATACTTTCAATCAAAGGAAATCAGAGCTGGACGTCGTTCTAACGTCAGTACAACTCCTGCGCAGAAGCAGATGACTTGCTCTCCGCGTAAAGGATCTGTGCTGCAATATTGCTAAAACAACAACAACAACGACAACATTTTAAATATTTTAGTTTTGCTTTTTTTGTGGGATCAGGAGGACCATGAAGACATGCTGCAGCTGATGCTGAATGCTGTCACGGAAGCGAAACCGTCTTTGAACTGTCGCCATCCTACGCTGGAGGTCCATGGCGAGATTTCCCATCGTAAGTGAGATTTATTTGCGACGTTGTAAATATGGTCACGAAGAAGGTGTGCTTTCGATAGAGGAAAAAGAAAATCAACGCGACTAAAACCGTGATTTCATCGTCATTATCATCGTTATCATCAGTCCCCGAGCTAAACACACCAACAAACATCGCTAAAATATTAACCCAAATATTGGGCGAACAATGTTTTTTTCTCACAAAGTTATTTGACTTAGAAGTCTGGTTCTCATCGCGTTTTTAGAAGTGAAAGTCTGTACTGGCAACAATGAAAAAGATGACGTCAGAAAAAGGCAGGGCTTCACTTTTTGGGCTGTAGACTTTATTCCCAAATGATTATAAGCAGTTTTATAGTGTCAAATGAATGCTTTGAAAGCTCGCTTCAGCACTCGCGCATCAGCTCGAAACAAATGCTCGTCATTGTCCATTTTTAGACTGCCCGCTCGACCTGCAAGCCTGCCTTCCCCTGACGTCACGGCACTGAAAAATCACGGGTATATTTGAATGCTTGTTTTGGCATAATTTTCTTTTGCCAATTCCACAATAACTATTCTGAATTTTTTTACACTAAATATCAAACCGGAAAGGGTAAAGGCCAGGGTATCCGAAAATGTGGTTAGTTTGGGTAGCTCCAAAAATCGCCGGAGTGCGACCTTACGGGAATTACATAGGGGGAAGGGGGTTGACGCAAAGCATTTTTATATGAAAGTAAATTTGTTTTAAGTTGTGATTGAAGTTATCATTTACCTCCTTGGGCTTTTCTTAGAACATTTTTATTTATATTGGAAGTCTTCGTTATTTTATACTTTCAATGAACGCACATATATTTGTCTGAGAAGCCTCGTGGGATATTTTTTTATAAGACTTACGCTTGCAACCAATTTCAGTATTTATCTCAAATTACTTAAAATGTGTTGTGTTAATGAAATGCCAACTCTTTCTTTCTAAAAAAAAACTATTTACGGCCCACCTAGGCTGCTCCCAGCTTTTTAAAATACAATTGAGGTTGCCTTAGTTTTAAGGTACAGGGCAGATGATATGCACCACCAAATGCGCCTCAATAATATCTTACGAGATAATTAGATTAAGGCGTAATTACTTTTCATACATTTTGTGCGAAGTTTAGACGCACTCTAAAAAGTGTGTGAGTTCATTTTCGCACAGAACTAGCAAACATTCAATCACGGCAAACAACAAATCTTTCTCTGGTTTGCCGCGATTGGCTGTTTTCGTGTTCAGCGTAAAAGTTAACTTATATGTACTTGTTCATGAGTACGTGCCTTGAAATGCCTGATAATGACTCGAATTTAAAAAGGAAAGGGAAATAGAAACTATACATACATTTCGAATTAGGGACTAAACTTTGATTTTGACATTATATATATATATAAAATAGGACAATCTTTTTTTTTAACTTAGCCAATTCCAAGAAATCGAAATAGTTATTACTGCTGGTTCCGAAGTTAACACCATTGTATTTATTGGCAGGCTCAGCAATTCTTAGGGGCGTAACGTTTGCTTTCGTTCCAGATCTGGACATTCAGAGGGCGAAGACACAGCCTATCTTCAGTGACAAAGAAATCCGAGCGAATCTATTCGCCACATTAGTTGACGGGCAAGTCCTTTCACCTCTTTTATTTCCCACCGCGATTCGCGCGAACGTTTAATGTGTTAACGCCCCTACCTTTCGCGAGGGTTGCAAATGAAATCTAGAATAAAATAACGTATTTTGTAAAGTCTGGTGTACAGATTTGCTTCTGTCGTTATGTGTAGGTTGCCCTGGACACTTTCGATCTGCGCATATATTTTTGAACATGAACATATTTCACCGTTGGCTGAAAATAATCCTGACAATGTATATATATATATATATATATATATATATATATATATATATATATAGAGAGAGAGAGAGAGAGAGAGAGAGAGAGAGAAAGAAAGTAAAATACACATTCTTTTGAAGTTACTATACAGTAAGTTCACCGTGTATGTTAGATAGTGCGCAGATTAGATCTCGCAAATATTGCAAAACATTCAGTCTCGTTCTACGCAGCTCCGAGACTACTTCATAGATGGCGCCAGTGTTCTCTCACCGTAAGCGGCTAAAGCTCTCTAAAGGCTGATTCACACACTTGCGACGGACTACGACACAACCTGTTTTTACGCTTCTTGCGAGTACTTACGACAGGCAGTGTAGCAGCGGGTGGGAAATGTGTGAACAAAGCCTTACGAAATAGGATTAATCTGATGACATTTTTTTTGTTGTTGTTGAAGGGTTCAAACAATGTTAAACAACAAAAAACAGAAAAATTTTCGCGCAGTCGGCGGATCGCAATGGCACTGCCTTACTCACAGGTTTTCAGCTACTTTCAAATAACTATGCATTTGATATAATGAGGTGACTGTTTATGGTTACGCACGAAAAAAAGCGAAGGTCTAAACAGAACGCAGTGATGAACAATATACGATTCAAGTACGTATACACCATCGATGTCGCGATTCAGAAGGGTGTATCACGCGCCTTCGGCAGAGTCGCGTGCATAGAAATGCCAAAAAATATTAGCTTTAGCTAATGCCCTCTTAATGTGTTTAGCAGTCATCTCGAACTGAACGGAGACCTACCAAGAAGCGTAGAAAAAGTACATCCTGCTAGACTAGGCTTCTTCCGTTGCATTTAGGGTGGATATTTATGCTTAATTCCATAAATAATTTATTAACCCTGTAAAATAATGTAGAGTAGTATTAGCGTGCAAGTATAAATATTTATTTAAAGAAACAAAAAGAGCAGTAAGCTTAAAGGTGCTTAATAATTCTTACTTGTAGGTTTGAGACCATCAGCGCGGCAATGACTTTTATGGCTTACATCTTGGCAAAACATCAAGATGTGCAAGATAAGCTAAGAACTACAATCATTAAAGCCCTCGATAAAAACGTAAGTATATAGGTATAGTTCGTGCCCATAATTGCGTTTTTTTTTTGTTTTGTTTGTTTTAACAGCCTCGAAGTTAGTCTGCCTTAATGGGAGACTTTCCTCTCGACTGTAGATGAGAAATTGAGCGAGTGTCCAGTGGCGTAGCCAGGGGGGATGTTCGAAGGTCGAAACACGCCCGGAAAGTTTATAATTTTTCTCTTTCCCCGTTTTCCTTTCCTGTGTCAGTTTTTTTTTTTCGTCTTTTTTTCATGTGCTTCGACGTTTTGCCAAGGAATTAAAAACGCTATGTTTCTATATCTGTTTGACAACCCACTACAATGAGGGGAGGGGTCCACAGCATTCCAAAGCACAATGAAGATGACGACACTGTCCGAGGACTGCGTGAAAAACGCAAGTCCGTCTCCGGCTCAGCATCCAACGTCACAAAAGCCGCAAAGTCGTGACCTCGAAGGACATTGGTTTCGCCTCGGAAAATGCAGGCGACTTGTCTAAAGTCCCCCTACCCTTTGATTCTCAAGGAGTCGACCACAATTTCAGGGCAGCAAACCCTACAATGAAAACAGGACGACGAGAGGACAAACAGCGTAGTGTTCTTTTTTTTTTTTCCTGCCGTCTTTTTTCTTTTTTAGGGCTTCCTAGCCGATAATTTTTTAGTTTCAAATGTGCCCAACCAAAATGTAAAAAAAAAATATCCCCCTAATAAAAAAAAAAAAGAAGCGAGAGAGGAAAGCGGCAGCTGCACCGTGAAAGCAACATTGGAATGCTCATGGTGGCTTGGTTTCAAAGCGTACATAGTTTACTTCTTTAATCACTACAGTGGGTAATGTTTATAATCTTGTGTTCAGCACGTCAGTCGTGAAAGTTCCCTCGCTTGACGCTTTTTTTAAAATGATTATTGACCTACAACTTCAAGCGTGTCATCAAGGTCTCCAACAGGGCCGGCACTTTCACGTCAGGCAGCATTGTCCTCCCTATGCGAGAGCGATTTTGTGAATAACGACGTCGGTCTTTACGACGCGACTCGCAAGCCTCGACTTCGAACAAATCTCTAGCCTGTGCGGAGCATTCGTTTTGTTAAATAAACTGCCTAGGAAAGTTTGTGGGAGCCGAGGGTGAAAGACGAGGCAGAGAGCACGTGACAGGCGGCCGGCGGAGAAGACACGAGCTGGGGCGAGACAGTGCGTGCTGAGCGAGGCCGTAGCTGGACAAGAACGACGGAGCCGGGGCTGCCTGACCTGGCCCATCGAACCCTGGAGCTGTCCACCAGCGAGGTCTGGAGCAAGACCGGTGGAAACGGCAAGCCCGGGCCATATGACCTGGGCTATGACGATCCCGGGGTGGTTCAGCAGCGAGACTCGGGCATTGATAGCCCGGGACAGCCAGCCTACGCAGCGCTGGCGTGGGAAAGGCGATCCGCAGGCCTGGACACGGACCCCGACTGTGAGCTCTGACCGACGGGCGACAACAAAGGTCGGCGGGCCCGGACTACCGGCTCTCGACGACGGGCAACCGAGAGGTACAGTAAACCCATTTGCTGTCTTCTCGTTGCAATGTGTGATTCCCTGGGTGACGGGCGGAGCGCATACCGATCGGGCGGCGATTGATATAGTGGACCTCCGTAAAAGAAACCCCACATGAAATGGCGCCCAACGTGGGGCGCCATTTTAATGCCGCCCAACGTGGGTTCGGGCCCCACGTTGGGCGCCATTTTATGTGGGGTTTCTTTTACGGAGGTCCACTATATCAATCGCCGCCCGATCGGTATGCGCTCCGCCCGTCACCCAGGGAATCACACATTGCAACGAGAAGACAGCAAATGGGTTTACTGTACCTCTCGGTTGCCCGTCGTCGAGAGCCGGTAGTCCGGGCCCGCCGACCTTTGTTGTCGCCCGTCGGTCAGAGCTCACAGTCGGGGTCCGTGTCCAGGCCTGCGGATCGCCTTTCCCACGCCAGCGCTGCGTAGGCTGGCTGTCCCGGGCTATCAATGCCCGAGTCTCGCTGCTGAACCACCCCGGGATCGTCATAGCCCAGGTCATATGGCCCGGGCTTGCCGTTTCCACCGGTCTTGCTCCAGACCTCGCTGGTGGACAGCTCCAGGGTTCGATGGGCCAGGTCAGGCAGCCCCGGCTCCGTCGTTCTTGTCCAGCTACGGCCTCGCTCAGCACGCACTGTCTCGCCCCAGCTCGTGTCTTCTCCGCCGGCCGCCTGTCACGTGCTCTCTGCCTCGTCTTTCACCCTCGGCTCCCACAAGTTCTGGTTTAGACACAGGTGTGGAAGGGCCACACAGCTTAGCGGTACAGGCAGCTTGTCTTCGCCTGGAGGCCTTGTATCCTTATGTAAACCGCCTTCTGCAAATCCCGGTCATTATGCCCGCCAGCGCCGTTGAAGCCTAACGTTCGTTCTCGACACTCCGAACACTCAAGTCATACCTGACACGTCCCAGGGGCACTTGCTTGTAGTTTCGCTTCCGATCATTCACTGGAACATCCAAGCCCCGAAAAGGTCCTCTTGCTTCTTTCTATCGACTGACGGCGTCTTCCACTAAATGTTTAGACTCCACAAAATGATAGAAACTGGCACTTTTCTCTGCCACTTTCTCGTAAAACGACAACGAAGAACGGAAAGAACCAAAAACATCACCATAGCACGATAACTTCCGAAAAATGTGATCTGCGAAGGAATATTGAGCGTGACGCTTCACTTGATTATTACTTCAGTGCTCATTGCGGTTTTTATGTTTAATCCTATTCTAAACTTCGATATTCTTTGGCACTCTTCTGTAGTTTTCAGTCAGTGTATACCCGAGATTTCCACAGAGAAGTGTACGCACCGAAATAATTTGTGAGCCTGTTTGGACATTTTTGCTCAAAATCCAGTATTATATTTTATGATAGTGTGTTTTCGTTGTTCAATATTAAAGTTTCTCTCTTTAAAGATAGGAGGAACGAACTGTGTTAAAGAAGGTTGAATTTTTGTCTTCTAAGAAACAGGAAAATAGTAACTCGAATTTTGTTTGTGCAATTTCTTTTCCTCTCTCTCTCTGTCTTTCTTTCTCTCTTTTATTTTTTTTTTTCGAACGGCTTGAGCGAAAAAAAAAAAAAAACACTGCCTATAAAACATTTAATGGCTACGCCACTGATTCCAACCGATAGTCCGGGATCTTTAAAGGGACACTGGTATTTGTGGTCGCCAAGGTTTTTATTTGTATATGATATGTGAGAGCCCAACCACTCAGAACCCAATTTGCGACTCGAAATTTATTTTCTTGCCGCCCGAAAACCGCTGATCGAGAACTAGCTGATTTGAGTCGCGTACACACTGTTCTCTGTGCTCACGTGCCGATTTTTTATAATCCAGACTCGAGCACCCAAGGTAATCAAACTCGTGGTTCATCGAAGGCGCACACTCAATACTAAAAATACACAAAAAATATGATTGCCATTATTTGTGACTTCTAAAAAACTGCAACTACGTTGGTTTAAAAACAGTCGTTGCAGAGCTACGTGACCTCCAGCCAACGCTCTCCTCCTCTATATTTCTTCTCCCTCCCCAATTCAGTTTCGGCTTCGAGCAGTTAAGTTTTTTTACTTTATTAACTCTATACGTGACGTTGTAAAAAAAATATTGATTGGGTAGACTTCTGACACCCTAATAGACCGCCTGGCAAAAAATTAAAAAAAAAAGTTTCTGGAGGATGTCAGTGTCCCTTTAACGTGTACCACACAGTAGCGGTACACGACCGCACACCGGTACGATGCTTATCCAGATAGAAAAGGGGGGGGGGGGGGGAGAGGGGTGTTACGACTGTCATTGAGTGGAGAAAACAAACAAACAGATAATCAGCGTGCGTTTCATATAGTTTATAATTGTCAAGGAGTCATTTTCAGCTGTATTTATTGAAAGTAGAACCATGCACAGCCATCTTTGCATCCCCCATGTAACGCACTCGCGCACCGATTCCCCCCTTCAGTTCGTGCCGAGCAGCTGTGGTCTCTTACAGCTTAGGAAACTCACGGTGTAGGGAGTCCTGAGGCACTTATTATAGGGAGTATTCACTGGCGGCCATAGCTGTGTGCGCGAATGCTGAGCGCGTGCTGATGGCGAGGCTCCACAGTTACTTGGCAACGTGCATTCCGCACCACCAAGAGTGCCGGTCTTAGCAGCCTATTGATGTGAGCTCGTTCTGAACATGCGCTCTAAACAGCACCCACAAATATGGCGTCCAGTGAATACTCCCTATTGCTTCACAGAAATTGAGGCATTAGGCAATAAGAAGGCTGAAGAAAGACTCACGATGCAAAGAGTGTGAATAAACTCAGCCACGCAGTGAATACGCTATGAGATATATATAGGGAGCGGCCCGTTATCGGCATACGACACTATTACTCATTCAGGTGGAGTCCTACGTGGAGACTATCCTCAGAATTGAATACTTGGACCAAGTGACGTTGGAGGCACTTCGGCTCTACCCTCCCGTGGCCGGGTAAGGCGGATCATTTGTCATCCCGCTCATTTTCATCCAAGGAATGTACACTGAAGGCTACTTGTAGCCTTGCCTAGTAAAAGATAGCTCGTGCCTTCACTGAGAAACACTCGCTTGTTTCGATCAGTTCCCTGGTAACCAAAAGTTTGCTTAAACGCGATTCTTTTTGGCACCCCAAACAAAGTTATTTTAAAGAGCTTGAGAATGCTTTGCAGAACGAGCCTCTTTTAAAACAAGTTATGCGATGTAATCACTGCCTATAACTCGAATGAGTCACTTTGCGTAATTTTTGTTATTAACATTAAGCGTGCACATTAACTTGGTGCTGCTAGTTTCTCCCTTTTAAAAAACATTACAAATTAATGGCAACAAAAATTAAAGTTGCGTTAAACCTAAGGCACGACCGGTATTTAAGCCTCTTACGACGGCTTAGGACCTGCTCCGTAACAGCGTATCTGGTCCTCCGCCCTCGCAGGAGGCTTAAAAACCGGTCTTGTCTCTCTCGGTCTTACTCGGTTCCAAATGTGTGACCGGCGCTTAAGGGCGCGTTCACACACTTGCAACCAACTAGAACTGAATGAGACAAGACCGGTTTTTAAGCCTTTTGCAACGACTCATAACCGGATGTGTTGCTGCGGAGCCGGTCGTAAGCCGTCAAAGGAGGTTTAAAGACTGGTCTTGTCTCAGTCGGTCGTAGTCTAACCCAGTTGCGCGAACGGGCCTTAAAAGGTTACTGCAATCCCATTTAAGCGCCTACCTTTTTCGCGGTTTCCACATCTCTTGGGGTTCGGGCAAGCCAGCGGGCACGGAGAGAGTAACGAAATATCAGAGTGTCATATTTTAACCGGGCGACGCGGAAACCTCCTCCACCTACTGGGGTGACCCGCGGTGTCGAAAGCGCGCGATATGTGAAGTCTTTGGTCCTGGCCTTACTACTGGCAAGGGCCACTAAAAGCTTCTTTTTAGTAAAAACAAAATCTATATCTATAATATATATATATGTATATATACATATATATAAGTGGCGCGAACCGTTTCATTTATTAATGAAAGAAATTTTTGTTCAGTATTTTAGATCAGAAAAGAAACAAATGCAGTTGTTTATAAAGTACGGAAACAAGAAATGACCCGTCGACATACCCGCCACCAAACGGCGGAAAAAACGGCGCATACTAGAAAGGGCTAGTGGGATGAGGCGCCGACGAACGTCGAGCGTAGAAAGGTCCCGGATGTACGCGGCGGCGCTGCGGTCGTATACGGGCTTGAGGATCCGACCGGTTCCGAGCGTTCCAAAAGCCTTGATTATAATGCGATTAAATGCAAAGGTGCAAGCGATCAGCTTTGGCTTGTGGTTTGGCCGTTTGGCGATATGGCAGCGCGAAGTGGCTCCCGTTCTGAACTGATCTTTCCCCCGTGTTTGCTCTTGTTTGTGGCCAATGAAGTGTCATGCCGAATTAGTGTTTAATTGTGCAGCAAATGCAATGCGAGTCACCCTGGCAGCCCGCTTCATACAGCCTATCCAGAACATGCTTTAATGGCGCCCTCTCGAGCCGTCGACACAGAGTGCGGAAGCCGTGAGCGCTCGCTGAGCTCACTACCCCTCCTCTAGTTTACGGCCACTCAAGCGACCAAGGACGTCATGAAGGAGGTTATTTTTTGCTTGTTTTTGTAATTTTAATTTGCCTATAACTTTTAAAATAAACCGAAATTTTGGAAAAGAAAATTTTCACTAAGTTGCTACGTTCAGTGCGTTCAAGTTCTGTGAAAATTACAAACCAGTAAAAACGTCCTTGCAAGGCCCCTTTAAAAGGGATGCAGTTTACCTTTTTGGGGAGTCAATTACGTTCTCTTCAGCGCCGTAGTTATAGTAATTGGAGACTAGATTTCCCCCTTTAGGGATCGATGACACTACTATTGGTAGGTAACTTTTAAAACTGGGTACGAACTTTCGTCCCTTTGTGGACCAATGTTGACACTTTCAAGGATGAAGTAAAAAGTTAAAAGGGAAAAACTTCCGTACCTTTGGGCACCAATTTTTTCACCTTGAAGAATGAAGTAAAACATAATAAAAAATTATCTGCTTTTACGTTTTGGACTAATTTTGATATTTTGAAGGATGAATTAAAACAAAGTAAAATTTGAGTAATCTTTGTTCTTTTCGGCTTCAAGTTATTGTTCTTTCGATGCGCTTTTTTTTTTTTTTTCTTGCGCTTTTGGGCAGAAAAAGTAAAAGGTCACGCATGCATGCCTGCCTCCTCCAGACACCTGGTGCGATTTTCGGAAGAGTGGTCTCTGCCAAAAAAGTCGCACTGTGTTTTTCTGAAGGCAGGCGAACTCCAAACGTCGGTGCTGTATAAATACCTGCGAGAAAGAAAAATGAACACCATTAGAACCTTTAGGAGAAAAAAATTTTCTTGTGTTGGTTTACAAGAAAATTTCAACAGCAATTGTTAACCAAAATAAAAAAAATATATGTTATGAAATTTCGTATTACATGACGGTGCTAAAAAAAGATATATAAACAGTGTCGTGAATATCCAAAAGAATGTGTGCACCAACTTGACTGTGTTACGTCACGCCGCGGTGGAGGCGCTTCGGGCGCACTTCCGGTCAGGCGCGTGGGCGGAAGTCGCCGCGGGAGCCGGGCATCGCTGTGTTGTTTGTGAAGAAACCAGTCTAAAATCTGCCTTTTCGTCAAAACGCCGCGACTAGGATTGCAACAAAAAGAGTCGGGAAAGGTCTCAAGATCACTGTTCACGTGTTTCCTGCCTGCCCGGTTCGTCCGAGAACGTAAATAGGATCTGTGAAAAGGGAAAACCAGACAGCGGCGGACATGTGGGAAGTACTTTGGGTAGTATTCGCGGATACTTGTTGTCGTCCGATTTAGTTTTGTTACAAAACGAACCCGGAAAAACCGTTAAGCTGTCCGAACCACTCGCGTACCACGTTCAGGGCGTCTTCACGTTCGAACGGCTGTGTGATCGTTCAAACTGCCGTCTGCTTTTTCAAAGTCGTTTGCTTTTTTCAAACTGGCATCTGCACGTTCAAACGATAAATTTTCTCCGTATAGGGATCAATGAAACTATTATTGGGAGGTAACTTTCTAAATTGGGAGTGAACTCTCGTCCCTTGTAGACCAATTTTGACACTTTGAAGGATGAAGTAAAAAATTAAACGAAAGATACATTCGTCTTTTTGGCGATCAATTTTGACACCTTAAAGAATGAATTAAAGAAATAAAACTTGGTCAATTTTTGTACCTTTGGTATAAATGTTTCGTCTTTTCGGTGTGTCATTTTTTTACGCTTCACAGCTGAAAAAGTAATGTCTCTCACGCATGCCTTCCTTCTCCGGGAACCTGGTGCAACTTTTCGGAAGAGGGACCCATGCCGGAAAGTCGCACTGGGTCTTTTTGGAAGCAGGCCTCCTCCAAATGTCTGAGGGGTATAGAAACCTGAAAACAAAAATAAATTCCCATTATAAATTTTAGGAGAAACGATTGCTTGTTTTCGTTTACAAAGGAATTCCAACAGCAATCTATGGACGAAATACCAGAACTTACACTGTGCAAATAAATTCCATCTTAAAATTCCGAGCCACAAGACTGTGCTAATAGACAAATATATGAATAATGTTGCCAATATCCAGATAATGTGTACACCAACTAAACTCTGCTGTGTCACGGCGTTGGTGCACTTGTTCCTGGCACGTGTTCCAGGTGCTCACATGACGATGGTTGTAGGTACTTGTGAGAAACGTTTAGTATGAATCTTAACAAGGAGCTGTAGGCTTGTAGGCTAGACTGGTGAAAGGGAAAAGTCGAGGATAATTAGTAGGAACCGATTGGATGCTCGTATGGGTATAAACCATTTTTTTTAATTATAGACTACTATATCAATAGCGTGCAATACAACTAATAACCAATCAAAACTGCAGGCTAATGGCTTGTTCTGACCATGACTAAGCGCGCGGACCGGACCTGTGGAACAGTTAGCTGAACGCAGAAAACACAATCATAAATTTGTTTGTCTCGCCTGGCAGCAGCACTCTTAACCGTTAGTGACGAACAGAAGAATGCGAAACCCTATGTACACTCATCCTCAAATTTAGTCAGACCGCAATCGCTGAAAAAAATTTACCGACGCAAATCAACTAAAGGCAAAGGAAAACCTTAGCTTTTTCATTGCCGATTCCTGATGCCGTTCTGGCGTCGATGGCTTGGGGGAATGGCACGACGCAGCACACAAGCAATTTCACATGGACAGAAGCCAGGCCATATGAAAATCGGGCAGCTGACAATCAGCAAGGGAGCTCAGGTCTCGGAAAGAGTAGGTACGCCACGAGCGGCGTTCCGGTCAGCTCCATGCGGGAAAGTTGACCGCTTTCCTCGCTACAACGGCTGCGAAACCGGAAGATTCGCACGTTTCACGAGGAATCTTAGCCCAAAGCTCCAACGACTTACAAAAAGCGATGCGTCAGTGTCTTAAAAAAAAATGAGAGGCGGCGAAGTTGAAAAGAACATTCCATTACGTCACACACAGTCGCAAAAATGAGAAATGCGACAAAAACACAAAAAGAGACCTCAATGTTTGTGCTCTATTTTGTTTTGGGGTCTTTTTGCAGATTATCACTGGGGCCGATCATCAATTTACTTCAACACGACGACTTTGTTGCGTCGCCGTGACTTTCTAGCCAACTAAAATTAGAATACCAAGCTGGTCAAATAAACAAACCTGAAAACAAAGGCAAGATGACTAAAAGCGGGTAGCGCACTGAAGGACTCGCCTTCTGAACTGATCTCTCGCTGTGTGTGTGTCTCTCCAACTCGTCCGTCTTTTTTAGCGCTTTTAACCTCTAAACTTTACTCGTTAGCCATTTACACCCCTGCCAGACGGGCCCCTAAAAGGACGTTTACGCCAATGGACCTTTAGTGTAAACGTCATTTAAGCAGTGCCAGACGGCAACTCACATGGCATTTTGCGTAAAGGTCCTTTTCGTTA